TAACAGCGAAAACTAAAATGAAAAGGGCTGGGAAATAAAAGATGCTTAAGAGAGTTATTTTGGTGAGGATGATGAAAAATGTTATTGAGGATAAGGAGATAACCCCAACAGGCTGAAAATAACTAGGCAGCTATTCAGGGTGCCAGGGGCTGACGAGAAGGCCTTGGGGAGCTCCAGGCTGAATGAGGCCAGAGCTCATTCGAAATAAGCCGGCCTAATTAGGGAACATGAGTTCAACTACATTTTTCAGATTCCTGTTGGAGAATTTGGCCATATTCCTAGGGAACAGCTGGAAGCCCAACACATTTGCAGGCCATTGGGTAGTTTCAGGAGGAGAAACACTGATCCATTACACAAACCTGAGTGGAACAGGAAATGCTCACCTATCCTGATCCTCTTCTGATGGAAGGTACATCTCTCCCACCAGCCAAAGATCAACTATGAATAGGACACAGTAGTATATTTCAGTCCAAGAACCAGTGAGTAGATATGGAAGGATATTTAGCATCGAAGTCATTCCCAAGGAGCTAAGCACATTGCATGTGTGAACTACAATAGTCTGGATGGAGAACAGCAATGTCATATCATAGCAAGTGTAGATTGCCATATATGTATGATGTGACTCTACGTGTGGGTCTTATGTACCACAATTGCATAACACGCTGCTCCTCAATTGTGGCTCGTTGTCCACAATCATAGTGTGTAGCAAGTTTGCACCAAACTGTAGTACAGTGGTGCCCCGCAAGACGAATGCCTCGCAAGACGAAAAACCCGCTAGACGAAAGGGTTTTTTGTTTTTTGAGGTGCTTCGCAAGACGAATTTCCCTATGGGCTTGCTTCGCAAGACGAAACGTCTTGCGAGTTCTTGCGGGTTTGTTTCCTTTTTCTTAAAGCCGCTAAGAGCCGTGCTTCGCAAGACAAAAAAACCGCAAGACGAAGAGACTTGCGGAACGGATTAATTTCGTCTTGCGAGGCACCACTGTACTGCAGAGGGTGGACAGTTCCCATGAGGGCAAGTCTGAGATACAAATAATAACATTGCATCACTCTATGATACATCGCAAAAAGCAAAACTTTGGCATAATAGCACCGTAGGACTGTTTCACACATGACTTTCTTAGGTATACCTTAAGATTCTAAAGTCTGCCTCTAAAATGTAACATATAACATATGTAAAAGGTAAAAAAGGCAAAGGACCCCTGGATGGTTAAGTCCCGTCAACGGCGACTATAGGCTGCGGCGCTCATCTCGCTTTTACGCCAAGGAGCTGGTGTTTGTCCACAGACAACTTTCCAGGTCATGTGGCCAGCATGACTAAGCCGCTTCTGGCACAACAAAACACTGTGATGGAAGCCAGAGCGCACAGAAACGCCGTTTGCCTTCCCACCGCAGCGATACCTATTTATCTTCTTGCACTGGTATGCTTTCAAAGTGCTAGGTTAGCAGAAGCTGGGACACAGCAACAGGAGCTCACCCCCATTGCGCAGATTCGAATTGCCAACCTTCTGATTGGCAAGCCCAAGAGGCTCAGTGGTTTAGACCACAGCGCTACCCGCGTTCCTATAACATGTGTGAAATTATGTACAACATAATATTTTTTGACTGATTCTGCCATTGATCTGGTTTGAATCATAACGGATTGTGGCTTCATTCTAATGAGAGCAAGCCTCAATGAACTTTGGGCTCATGCGCTCATGACTGCCCTCCTCCGGTATGGTTGTAAGGAGATCAGAAGCTTTCACTTCTATTTTTTATTAACCAGCTTGTTGCTTCATCCAAAGTTGACAAACTGTTAACTTAACTGTTAACTTAGTTAACTAAACTGTTAACTAAACAAGATAATAATAATAACATGTCTACAGTTCTATGATTCCACAACATCCCTAGAGCTAAGAATAAAATGCCATGCTTAGTTTTTTCTTGTCAGGTGCTCCTTCATGTTCAGATCTGGCCTCAGTATAATAATGTAGCACTTTGGAATGAAGATCATAGAATCATAGAATCATAGAGTTGGAAGAGACCACAAGGGCCATCGAGTCCAACCCCCTGCCAAGCAGGAAACACCATCAGAGCACTCCTGACATATGGTTGTCAAGTCTCTGCTTAAAGACCTCCAAAGAAGGAGACTCCACCACACTCCTTGGCAGCAAATTCCACTGTCGAATAGCTCTTACTGTCAGGAAGTTCTTCCTAATGTTTAGGTGGAATCTTCTTTCTTGTAGATTGGATCCATTGCTCTGTGTCCGCTTCTCTGGAGCAGCAGAAAACAGCCTTTCTCCCTCCTCTATGTGACATCCTTTTATATATTTGAACATGGCTATCATATCACCCCTTAACCTCCTCTTCTCCAGGCTAAACATGCCCAGCTCCCTTAGCCGTTCCTCATAAGACATCGTTTCCAGGCCTTTGACCATTTTGGTTGCCCTCCTCTGGACACGTTCCTGTTTGTAGTGTCCTTCTTAAACTGTGGTGCCCAGAACTAGACACAGTACTCCAGGTGAGGTCTGACCAGAGCAGAATACAGTGGCACTATTACTTCCCTTGATCGTTTGTTTATGAAGCTGTCTGGTTTCAAAACACCACAGATGGGCTAAACCAGGGGTAGGCAACCTAAGGCCCGTGGGCCGGATGCAGCCCACTAGCCTTCTCAATCCAGTCCACGGACGGTCCAGGAATCAGCATGTTTTTACATGAATAGAATGTGTGCTTTTATTTAAAATGCATCTCTGGGTTATTTGTGGGACATAGGAATTTATTCCTTCCCCCCCAAAAAAAAAATAGTCTGGCCCACCACATGGTCTGAGGGATGGTGGACCGGCTCACGGCTGAAAACGGTTGCAGAACCCTGGGCTAAACCATAGGTCAGCTTTCAGATGTAACACTAAACTGCAGTTAATCAAAACCAGAATCAAAACCTTCTGACCTCTTCCTTGAAGTCATGCCAGAGAAAGAGTGGGAGGTAAGACAGCCCAGGGATTGTTGTGGTTCATTCCTGTCACAATAAACCATGGTTTACTGTCTGGAAGTAAGTAAGCAATCGTCTCAAATGGGCTTGGCAGACCAAGGTATCACCTTACAGTCCTTTTGGCTGCCACTGGCTTAGCTGCTCTGATATAACAGTGCACCTGTGCAGCTTTTGGGTTGGCTGCTGAGGGAATTTGGGAAAGCTTAGAATTTTAATGCTATACCGATGAGCAACTTTTGATAGCTTAAACCACATAAATATTGCTTAGACGACATGGGTTTTCAAATGACACCTTTTGAATGAAAATAGTTTCAATGCTTTCATAATTTTCCAATACAAACAAAGAACAACTGGTGCTTATAAGATAATACTCAAAAAGCATCCATACAAATCAGCCTGATCTATGCTGGTAAGGTAAAGCATTTGCTGTAAGGTCAATTTTCAAGTCTTGGGGAACTGTTAGATAGATTGGAAATGAAGTACAGAGCAAGCAACTGGAATAATGAAACAGGATTGTTTCAAGAGGTATAGGTTGATTCAGATTAAGTCTTATTAATTCACATAGGTGCACTGATTTGCATGGATTCCTTATTTAGATGCAATGAAAAATATTTTAAACTTAAAATTATTTGTGTTCACAGCCTGAAAACCTCTCCAGATCTCCTAGCTCCTAACTGGTGATTCCCTCATTGCGAGAAGTGAGGTTACAGGAAACCAGACAGAGGGCCTTCTCGGTAGTGGTGCCCGCCCTATGGAATGCCCTCCCATCAGATGTCAAGGAAATAAGCAGCTATTCTATTTTTAATAGACATCTGAAGGCAGCCCTGTTTAGGGAAGTTTTTAATATTTAATGCTGTATTGTTTTTAACACTCAAATGGGAGCCACCCAGAGTGGCTGCAGTAACTCAGCCAGATGGACAGGGTATAAATAATAATAAATTAGTAGTAGTAGTAGTAGTAGTAGTAGTAGTAGTAGTATTACTCATATTCACATTTTTCCAGCCCATCAACTAGATTTTGTCCCTCAAAACCAGATATGATCCTATGATCCCTTGCTTAGCTTAACTGCCCAACTTCATAAGGCAACCAATGCTTCAGATATAGGCACTAGTTAAGAGAGATACAGACACCAGAGAACATATAGACAGAGAAAACAGACCAGGTTCTGCAGTAGGCCGAGGGCCAGAATGTCACCAACTACAAAGTCTAATCTGCAGCAGAGGTATGGCTATTCACTATGAGTCAGTTACCCAGCAATGTTGTTAGCTGGTTTTCTCATAAAGGGCTCCTCATGGAGTGTTTGGCTGTCAAACAGACAGACAGTCAGAAGCCAGATTTTGATTTTTCTTCTACTTTCCAAGGAGGTCCTGGCACATCCCAAAGTTTTCAGCTCCTCTGCTTCTCAGATAGGGTGCCATAATTCCGTATTTAGCCATGAAGACACAGTAAAACTATGGAAAAGAAATTTCTCTTGGAGCAATTGAAAATGCTAATCCTTACTTTTTCAGTGCAAGAGAACTCCTTAAATTAGGGGTGGATAACTTGTGGCTCTCCAGATGTTGGGGGACTCCAATTCCCATTAGCCCCCGCCAGCATGGCCAGTGTTAAAGGATGATGGGCACTTAATTTCAACATCTGGAGGGTGGCAAGTTCCCCATCCCTGCCCTAATGAAAACTTTGGCTGAATGGATGTTACCTACAAAAGTCCCATTCCCTCCGCCCCAAGTCACTGTCCTAATCATCTAAAATGGAAGCAGAAGAGGAGAAATAATCATTGCTGTTCTGTACGCTTCCTATAGACATCTCGTTGGCCACTGAGGAAAACAGGAGGCTGGGCTAGATTGGGTTTTGTTCTGATCTCTTCTAATGGACTCTTCTTGTGTTCTTACTCTTATGCAAGTTTGACTTACGGTTAAGATCCTGGTTATAATAACCTGACACCTAGTCTTCTACCCTAGATGAAGTCATTCAGCTTGTTTGATGTGAAACTTAAGCCCAGGTTACAATTGGTGTTGACCCATGCAGTTGAACCTACCTGCAAAGCTGGAGAGCTGGTCAGGCTAAGATGGTTTTCCTCTGGGGCGTAATCCTGGTGAGCCCGTCGGCCCATCTTTGCTACTACCTATGTGGAGGACAAAGAATGATTCAAAAGGGGAACTTCAGTCACAACATGTGTGGTCAAGAGGCAGATGTACAGCCAGGATGATCAAGCTAGGGCTAGCAGGTTACACAGCCAGTCTCTAGGGAAGTTCATATATGGCAGGCATAGGCAAACTCAGCCCTCCAGATGTTTTGGGACTACAATTCCCATCATTCCTGACCATGGTTCCTTTTAGCTAGGGATCAAGGGAGTTGTAGTCCCAAAACATCTGGAGGGCCTAGTTTGCCTATGCCGGATATATGGCGGCTCCTAAAAGAAAGCCAATAGGGATACGGGGGGCGCTGTGGTCGAAACCACAGAGCCTAGGGCTTGCCGGTCAGAATGTCGACAGTTTGAATCCCTGCGACGGGGTGAGCTCCTGTCCTCGGTCCCTGCTCCTGCCAACCTAGCAGTTCGAAAGCACGTCAAAGTGCAAGTAGATAAATAGGTACCACTCCAGTGGGAAGGTAAACAGCATTTCCGTGTGCTGCTCTGGGTCACTAGAAGCGGCTTAGTCATGCTGGCCACATGACCCGGAAGCTGTACGCCGGCTCCCTTGGCCAATAAAGCGAGATGAGCGCCGCAACCCCAGAGTCGTCTGCGACTGGACCTAATGGTCAGGGGTCCCTTTACCTTTACAAGAAAGCCAATAGGAATGAAGGAGGTATTTGTTGGATTCCAGCTCCCACCAACGGCCAGCGACTCTGGGGGTTGCAGCCCATCAACACCTGGAGAGCCACGGCGGATACCTCCCCTCCCCCCGCTATAAAACAGGGAAGGGGCCACCAGGAGGGCTATTGCCTCGGGCAACCAAAGCCCTCGGCCGGCGGTCCTCCCCTCCGGGAGATCGGGGGACAGGGCAAAAGGCAGCGCGTGGAGTGCCGGGCGTTAGGACAGCGAGTAGGCCTCTCCGTCGCCATGGCAACTCGGGCCGCGCGCCCTCCCGCTCTACTTCTTCTTACCCCCTTGCAGACTTCCTCGTCCAGCTCCAGGTCGTCGTCCATCTTTCAGACCGAGCCGCTCACTTCCGGGAGAAAGTCCCGCCCCCTCCCCGCGCGTCCTTAGCAACCGCTGATTTCCCTTAAAGCGACCGCATCCTTTTTTTGTAGTCGGTCCACAGTCCCCGTGCCGTTCTAGGGTCCCTGGACGTTGTTGGACCACAACTCCCGTCATCCCTGGGCTTTGGCTAAACTGGCTAAATATGATGGGAGTTGTAGTCCAACAGTACGCGGGGAGTGAGGGGGGTCCTTTACTTCCATCTCCCCGGCAGCAACTTTCCCCAGCCTCCTGGCGCCGCAATATTTTGCCCGCTTGTTAACGTCGGAAGCGTCTGGCAAGCCCGGACGCATGAAAGTCCCTGCGTGCAATTGATCGCTCTCCGGTTAACAATCCTCAAGAATGGTTCAGGGCTTTGCCCTGAGATCTGCTGCGAATATGACGAAGACAGCGGAGCCTGTAAGCCAGTGCCGAGTGCCTCTCCCTAGAAACTGAGAAACTAGACACACACGTACACGTGTGTTATGTATTCTGCCAACATGGTTATGGACACAAGAAAAAGGGGCGTTCGTGGTGGATGGACATTGCTTTACTTTGTTCTTAAAGGATTCCGTAATGCTTGTCACATCATCCCTGTCAGGCGGGGCTGGGGCAGAAAAAAGACTGAACAATAACAAACCCGAGCACTTGTGGTATAAAAAGCTACAGGATTTCAAAAGTCGTGCAATAGGCATCGGCTGGAAACGAAGCGCTGTGACCGACCACCCCAAAAAACTTCACAGAAGGCAGACGCAAACTGTCGAAAAAAGGCTTGTGTATGACCACCCTGATAGCATCGTGAGTACCAATCATCATGAACGTGCAATGAAAGGGACTTCTGGAGAGACCAGGCTTCCTGAGCACAAAGTATAGCTTTCAAGGGCTAGCCAGCACTTCTCATTTGAGCCATTTCCAGCTGCTAGCTTGTTGCAGCAGAAACAAACGAACAAACCAAGGGCCTTCTATCACATTCAAGCTGAACACATTCATCGGGTGCATCTGTTAAAGTGGGCTCTAGTCCATAATTAAGGCGCAACTAAGTTCTTCATGTTGGGAAATGAGGAATAAACAGAATTATTACTTATGACCCCCTGCCTGCTCCATCCCTTCTTTATTTTATAACATTTAACCTACTTTTCTCACAGAGGTTCAACACAGTGTATAATTCCACCCTCTGGAAATCTATGGGTATTCATATGCTAGCCATAAAGCAGTCACATGAATGTTCCATCACCACATAAACTGTTGCTAAAAGCGCAGCAAATCGAGTAGAATTTTCCATTCACCTTATTGCTTGCTGGATAGTGATTTGGCCATGTTGTGGAGTGCTCTTATGGTCATTTCTGTTAGACTGGCAAATGAAACCCGCATTGGAGTCAGTGTGCACTGAAGGTCCCCATATGGGGAAATCATTTACTTTTTATTTGCATTTATATTTGCATTTTTTTTTCCTCCAAGGAGTTCAAGGTGGTGCACAAGCTGGTTCTTCCCCTCCTGATTTAATCTCCACAACAAGCCTGTGAGCAGCACTGAATGGCTGAGCTTCATGGTTGAGTAAGTCTCCCAGGTCCTAAACTGACACTCTAACCACTACACCACACTGGCTGTCTCATGAGAAAAAGGATGAAGTGCCATTTCTCAATTTTTATTTTTCAAGGGTTTATTGGGTGTTTGGTGGTTCCTGTTTGTCAGCTTACTCTAGTTTTATATGATTCTAGACCGTTTTTAAAGATGTAAAGGTAAAGGTAAAGGGACCCCTGACCATTAGGTCCAGTCGTGACCGACTCTGGGGTTGCGGCGCTCATCTCGCGTTATTGGCCGAGGGAGCCGGAGTTTGTCCACAGACAGCTTCTGGGTCATGTGGCCAGCATGACTAAGCCGCTTCTGGCGAACCAGAGCAGCGCACAGAAATGCCATTTACCTTCCCGCTGAAGGTATTTATCTACTTGCACTTTGTGCTTTCAAACTGCTAGGTTGGCAGGAGCTGGGACCGAGCAACGGGAGCTCACCTCGTCGCAGGGATTCGAACTGCCGACCTTCTGATCGGCAAGTCCTAGGCTCTGTGGTTTAACCCACAGCGCCACCTGGGTCCCTATTATTAAAGATGTAGGGTTGTGTTTTTTGTTTTCTTTTAAACTAAATTTTATCATGCTTTTGTTGTTCATTTATGCTGCATTTTGTAAACCACTGTGAACATTATTTTACAGTAGTGTCATACAAATATTTTAAAACAAATGCATCTCACTTGTGCTTATTTCTTTCTAAAGAAATGATTTCTGGCATTTTTCCACCCTAAGAGTTCCTAAAACCTTACAACAGGTGTGCTATTTCTGTAGCAACTACAAAGATTTCTCATATGATGGAAAGGTCACATTAGGTAAGCTTTAACTTTCGAGATGCTGTTTAGCAGCTGGAAATAACTGGGAGGTGGACACCACGCCAAGTACCCAACCCACACTTTTTTCGGCTCAGGGACAAGCTTTCTTGGAAATCGCTCCTATATATAAACAAGGACGCCTGGAAGCTACTTCACCGGCGCAGCTTGTCCGCCAGAGGGCACCGTTCGCTTGCCTTCGTTACTCTTGTCTCTCAACCTCCGGAGATGTTTGTAAAATAAATGAAGCGGGGCCCGCCTTGATCAGGTCTAAAAAGTGCACAAGCCTCACTTTTCTCTCAACCCACAATCTCCCCTTCGAAGGTGTACAATATTTTAAAAGGGAAAGCAGAACCGGGGGAATAAACTCGCCAGATTGCGTACATTCCAGTTTTGCGAGTTCAAACCTTGATGTCCCTCCATCATGAAATTATTGTTTTATGGCACAGACGTAATTACCATGTCTGCTCAGAAGCAAGCCCTATTGAACGGGGCATACTCTCAGGTAATACACTGGCAAGAAAAGTGATTGAAAGATGGATACCAAGGTCCCCGCCCCCCCCCCTATTGTTGGCATTTGGTCATTCCCATGGAAGAATCCGGACTCGGACTATATAATTCGGCCACAACCCATCCACCCTACAACCATCCCATTGGTTTCCGTCAAGTTTCCTTGCGAGCAAGGCTGCGGTCCTCAGCAGCGCACCAAAAAATCAATTCCGTTTGAACCAGTGGGGCTTCTTGCGCCACGACTCCCAATCCTGTAAAACTGTGCAGTGAAGGTCGGGGTGCAGCTGTGTTTCGGATCCCCATTCACACATCCTTTAAACCCCATCTGCCGGACAGAATTGTGGACGCTTCTCCCATGGGGGGGGGGGGCCGCGGCCACCATCGGGTGGGAGGGTGGTTGGTCTGGATCCATGAATCCGGGCGCACGCGGTCAGGAGCGGAATTCTCTGACCAACCTTTCATTCGAGGGTGGGGGGAGTTGGCAGCATACAGAAGAAAACTTGTGACCCCCCCCTTCCCCGGAACCGCAGATGCGCGAGAAACAAGGCCTGGAGAGACGAGCACCCCCACCCTAAATCAGCGCAGGACGTGGGCGTCAATGTGCCTGTGTGCATGTATCTCTCCCCCCCCCCCCGCGGGCCTTTCCACAGGACGCGCCTGTTTAACACATTAGAACTGTGCTGGACGCGCAGGCTGGGCTGGGAGAGCTCCCTCGCTCGCTCCCCCTTCGCCCGTCCCAGAGACGTCATGGGAGGGAGGTATAAAATTTCAGGCGAGAGGAGCAGAGAGAGGCAGTGTGTGTTGTGAGGGCGCGCAAAGGAAGAGGAGGAGGAGGTGGCGGCGGGACGGGGCGCCAGCGAGCGAGAGAGAGACGCGAAGGGGGATCGGCGCCGGGGAGCCCCGTCGAGCTCGAGGGGAGCCGTGGGGAGGAGGGGCGAGGCGGACCAAGGGGAAGGAGACGGCCGCCTGGCACCTGGAGACGGCGGAGAGAGACGCAGGCAGGCAGGCGGGCGGGCGGCCGGCAACCAGCCCAGCCAGCGCCCGCGGGTCTCCTGCGACGGCGCTCGCTCGCTCCCTCCCTCCCTCGACGCCGCCAATGAAGCCGAGGCGCAGCTCGTGAAGCGCCTCCGCTTCGGCCCGCCTGCCGGGGGAATGGCGACCAAGCGGGAGGCATGAGCGGGGCGCGCCGGCCGCCGCAAGTGCGCTCCCGGGCCCGCCCGACACGTGCGCTCCCGGCTGCGCCTCCAGGGCTCCTGGCTCCGGAGCCGCGCCGCGCCGCGTAATTGTGAGCCCGGGGAGCAGCGGGGGCGCGCAGGCACGGCGATTGGAGCCCCCTCGACGGCCGCTGTGCGCCTTCGGACTCATGGAGAGGGACCCCGGCAGCGCGAGGCGCCGATTCGCTCCCTCCTCTTCCTCCCGCTCCCGTTGCCCGAGTGCTGCCCGCGCCTCTTCCTAGAAGTCCCCCCTCGCTCCCGCGGCCGGGGAGTTCCTTCATGCACCTTCTCGCCGAGCGCCGCCAGCCTGCAGGATCCGCCTCGTCGGCGGCGCCCTTTTGCGCGCGCGCGCTCTCCGCCGAGGGGGCGTCCCGCCGCCGCCGCCGCCGCTGCTTCCTCCTCCTCCTCCTCTCCCCGCTCCCTGCCGTCACCGCGCCTGAAGATGCACTTGCACAGGGCTCTGTTGCTCCTCTCCCTGCTGAGCTTGGCCACCGTCAGCCTGTCGCTGTCCTCCTGCACGACGCTGGACCTGGAGCACATCAAGAAGAAGAGGGTGGAGGCCATCCGGGGCCAGATCCTGAGCAAGTTGCGCCTCACCAGCCCCCCGGAGACTGTGGGGCCGAGCCACGTGCCCTACCAGATCCTGGCTCTGTATAACAGCACCCGGGAGCTCCTGGAAGAGATGGAGGAGGAGAAGGAAGAGAGCTGCTCCCAGGACCACACCGAGTCTGAGTACTACGCCAAGGAGATCCACAAGTTTGACATGATCCAGGGCTTCCCGGAGCACAGT